GATTTCAAAGAGAAGAGACAAGGAGATAGAATAGAACATCCAATGATGAATGAGAATCCATTGAATGGCTGCCTCCCTCCAACGCCCGTGCAGTGGGGGTTGAGCCCAGCAACCTCATGGGATGTGCCCCTAGAGTGTATTGAACCCAGGACCCCTTCAAGCTGCTGGATGGCACTCTATCCCGTGAGGAAGACAAGGTAGGGCATCGGGTTGAGCGTTGAATATTCCAATGTCTAGTATGTTATAAAATTATACTGGATAACAGGGCGTCTCGAGTTGGAAAGTGATCTGGATGATGGAGATTGACTATGATGCAGAGACACGGGGAGATTTTGGGGGTGATAGAGATGTGTGAGATATAGAGTGTATTGGTGTTTACTCAAGGTGGGAGAGGCATCAAAACAGGGAGGAGGGGAGCTGTGAAATAGAGGGCTTCCCTGCCCCACCCCTTTGTTCAGGGTCCCTGGGCGGTGAAGACACTCCGCTCCCCAACAGCCATTCCTTGGCTCCTAGGAATGACCTGGCTGGGTTGGCAAGAACTCCTTGGCAGATGGGCACCCCCATTTTAGGGAGGAGAGGGGCTGGGAATGGAAGACCCGTTAATGGTGCTCATGACACACACACACGGGAGTGTGGGCGTAGGAGACAGGAGAGAGGGGGCTCGGGAAGAGGGAGGAGGCGTGACGGTGACGTGGGGGCCTGGGCCACGGGCACCCTTGAGGCTGTAGGAGAGCACATTCCCAGAGCTGGGCTCCCGGTCCTTGGAGGCTGTCACCCCGGAGATGGCCACCGTCCCGCAGTCTCCCCTCCCTCCGGAGGCCAAGGCCCGGCTGGGACGGAGCCAGGCCTGGCTGTGCGGGCAGAAGGCCACCCGAGCGCCACACCATCCCTCAGGGAGGAAGCGCGTTCCCGCCCCTCCTGCCCACGGGGATTCGGAAGGACAGCGGCCTCCTCCCCGGAGCTGGGCCAGTGTCAGGTGGACGAGAAAGGCCCACTGGCCCGACAGAGGTCAGTGGCTCCTCCGCAGCATGTGAGGGGGACACACTCACTTGGAAAACCCCAAGAGAAGGCGATGCCTCGGGCAGGGCGGGCCGTGGGCCCAGGCCCCTCTCCGGGCCCCACGCACGCCCCGGGCGCCGTCCTCCATGGCGGTTTCTGGAATAGCACAGGCTGCTGGGCCAGGAGAGCCCTCGCCGGGAAAGATCAGAACTGAGGTCTGCGTCCCTCTGAGCCCACGCGGGACTCACCTTTGAAGAAGATGTAGTTGACCAGGACCATGGCCGTCCCTGCGTCCAGGTCGCCCACCAGGTCCACCAGTTTCCCCTGGGTCTTCTCCCTCACGTAGTCGTTGATGAGCCGCTGGGCCGCGGGGGCGTCCCGGAAGTCGGTGGAGAGCGCCTCGGAGGCGTACAGCGCCTCGGCGTCGGCCCTGAACCCGTCCAGCACCTTCAGCTGCTCGCTGACGAACATGGCGTTGCCCACGCTCAGCCGCAGCTGGCCGCGGGGCCGGCCCAGGGCGCGCAGGAGGCGCTGGAAGCCCTGGTGGATTTCCGTCCCCGAGGTCTCCGTGAGGTTGACCTTGAGGCCCTTGTGGATTTCCATCAGGGTGCGGCCGCGGGCCCCCAGGGACAGGAAGGCTAACGCGGTGGAGATGCTCTTCGGGGAGAAGAGCACATTCTTATCGGGGTTCTTCCGAGCCAACTGCCTGTAGAGGCTGAAGGCAAAGTCGGCGTTGCTGGAGGCCAGTCGGAGGCTGTCCACCGGCGTCTCGTTGCCCGGGGTCACCTTCTGGTCCGGCGTGTCCCCTGGGAGGCCGTGGGCAGTGGGGCCGAGCCCAGCCGCCAGGAGCCCCAGCGCCAGGAGGACTGACATCCCTTCTGCCCTCAACTCTGAAAAGCGAAGCTGCTCTAAGTCTCAGCGGGCCAGGGGGGCCCGGACCACCTCCCAGGGCCCCCACATGGCCTGCTTTCTGCCCCCACCCCCCCAGCTAGCTTTGTGGCCTCCCAGGGTGGCAACCTCCTAGGCACCCGCCATACGTAATTATGCTCTGTGCTCTCACGTTTGTAGGTTAGCACTGAAATTGTGGCCATTTTCCCCAGGGGAGAAACGGCACAGAGAGGTGAAGGGGCTTGCCCAGGCCGCACAGCAAGGACAGGGCAGAGCGGAGGCAAGAGCTGGGTCTGCCTGGCTCCCAGGTGGGGAGCTCGTGATGGGCGCGAGGTGCATCCTCCCCGCGTGCTAGGCGAGCAGACACCAGCCGGAGGGGATCGGAAGCACGCAGTTGCTTGGCGTGTGTCCCCTGTCCACCCCCAAGTAGGGCCCCAGGAAGGGGAGCCGGGCGAGTCAGCGACCACAGCGCTGCTCCTGGCCTCTCGATGACGCGCTGGCAGGTGCTGACTGCAGTGCCTGGGCGCAGTCAGGGCTCATGCAGACACTGGCCCGGCCTGCCGGCGTGGCTCAGTGGGTGAGCATCGGCCCAGGCACCAGGAGGTCACAGCTCGGTTCCCGGCCAGGGTACAGGCCCAGGTTGCAGGCTCGATCCCCAGTGTGGGGCCTGCAGGAGGCAGCGACCCATGATCCTCTCTCCTCACTGATATTTCCATCGCTCTCTCCCTCTCCCTTCCTCTCTGAAAGCAATAAAAACATATTAGAGAGAATAATAATAAGGGGAAACAGAGAGACACAGATTTCAGAGCCAGTTGCTGCAGCAAACAGGGCCAATCACCTTCCTCTGCCCACTCAGCCTCGAGCCCCGAGGGGACAGGGCAGCTGGGCTGGTGGCAGAGAGGGGAAGAGGAGGAAGAGGAGGAGGAGGAAGAAGAGGAGGAGGAGGAAGGGGGAGAGGGGGGGGAGACGGAGCTGAGCTGATGACCATCCCAAACAGTGGCATCACCTTTGGACAAGCCCGGAACAGAGGCAGTTCAATTGCCCCCTGTGTACTCTCTGCTTATGTAACCATTTCTTTGAAAAATAGTTGAACTTTTCCCCAAAAACATTGCTTCTGGAGAAAAAAAGCTTACTGTTTGGGCGAGTTGGCGGCCGGCCCTGTCTCTAAGCAGCCTGCCTGTCTGCTTTGGCTGGAGGTGGGGTGGGAGGTGGGGGAATGGCTGGCGCCCAGGGACAGCCCCCATGGAGTCCCTGTGGCCTCTGCCCAGGGTGCATTGCAATCGTTCTGTCTGCACCACCCTGAGAGCTGCCCCTGCACCAGGCGAGGGGAGCACCCCGGGCCCCTCGGGGAGTCCTCATCCGGGGGAGGATGCACAGCTCTGTGGGGGGGCACAGCTGACTCCAAGCAGAAGCCCAGTGCCAGGGGCAGACTTGACTCTAGCCCCTCGTGGCGCGTCCACCCCTTGGCAGGTGTCCGGCTCAGGCCCAGACCGAGGCCTGTCCTCAGCAGCCAGGCCCGCCCGGCGCTGCCACACTCCTCCTGGCCCCTCCTGCACACAGTCCACGGCTCCAGGCCGAGCCTAGAACCACCCGGGGAAGTGGGTTCCGTGGCGCCCAGTAGCTCGGCGCCGTGGATTACCTGCCTCGGAGAGCTGAGTGCCGTGCGTGGTGCAGCCGCGGGCGCCGGTGCTCACTTATCCTGCAGAGGGCTCCGCCCCCGGCTTGGGAAATGCTGGCGGGACACCCGGTGTCCAGATGTCTGGCTGGAAAGGGAGCACGGAGTGTTTCTGGTAACTGGGATTTGCTAGAACAACTCGAATAATCCAGTTTCAGGAACAGCTGAATTTTTGTCTCTTAAACACAAACCAAGACCTTGCCTCAGTTCGTTTTGTCTTTGTTGTGACATACTCATTGAGAAACATGTAAAACTCAGAAACACATAAGGAGGGACATTGAAAAATACCCTGATTCTTGTTCTTCAGAAAACAAACAAAAAAAACACAGCCCTGGCCTCTGTGGCTCAGTGGGGGGGGGGGGGGGGGCGGGGGGGGGGGCCCCCTCCTGTGCCGCAAGTGTTGCCCATCAGGACACTGTGCCTGGGTTTTGAGCTCTGTCCCCAGTAGGGGCGTGCAGGAGGCAGCCAATTGATGTTTCACTTTCACACTGACCTTTCTCTCCCCTCTTCTTTCTCTAAAAAGCAATTTAAAAATCTTAAAAAAAAAAAAAAAAGAACAGTTCTTGGTCCCGGCAGGCAGCACCCTGTCACTCACTCTGGTTAGGAGTTTTCAGGAGCGAGGAGGCAGCACCAACCCTGGGCCCAGGAACTGTCTGTGCGGCTCTGATATGAGCCTGGGGATCCCAGGTGCCGTGTGAGAAAGCAGGAAGTGCTGGAGACCCTACTTCCCACAAACACAAGCAGAAACATGGCAGGAGCATGAACCACCACCAACTGCCACCCAGCCGATGAGCGCAGGCCCACGGCCGGAAGGTCATCTGTGTCAAAGTACCTTGTGGAGGTCCAAGACGGCATGGATCGGGTGGGAGCTACACTGACTCCTCCCGGGACCAAACTGGAATCGCAACTAAATTATAGAAGATTCATCCTGAATAGCCAAATGGAGACTCGTGAAGAAAAGCCTTATAACCGAGGACTTACAGAAGAAGCCACAGGGAGACTGGTAGGACGTGTGGAGGGCGAGAGGGCTGGCCCTGCTCCCAGAGGCAGCTGCTGAGGTTCCGGAGGGATATCTCAGCTATGAGGGGTTTCCCCTGAGAAGTGTGGGAGCCGGGAATAGGTGCCCACTTAGCATCTGCCTGTGTAAAGCAATGGGGTTTCTGATGGCCAGGAGAGATGGCTAGGGACACGGGCATCCTCCTAAAGGCCCAACACAAAATTTCATTCACAGCCACTCACCCTGGGCTCCATTGGAGGGAGGGCAGAGCAAACTAGAACCGCATGCGGAGATTCTGGGGTTGGTGGCTCTGGGGAGAGAGCTGAAGGGTCAGCCACCAGGATCCCTTCGCTGAGTCATTTCCCCATTTCTCAGAAGTCATCTTTCTTGGGCGGCACACTCCCCTTTGTACCACATCAGCAGAGGGGGGGAGGGGAGGAGTAGCCACACCCTCTGGATCCCTCCTCGCCCCACCCTGCAGCACTTTATGCCCTGCTGAGGAGTACAGCCAGCAGCTCTTTCAGTGACTGAGCCGAACAGACAGCCCTGCAGGCAGAGCTGATCTCTGGGGGATGGGGAATTTTGCTGACCTGTCCCCCAAGGGCCTGGTGCTGGTAAAAGCACCAGGGGCAGCTTGGTCCTTTCCACAGACACCCAGGCCCAGCAGAGGCAGCCAAAAACCATGGATCACCGATAGCTCCAAACAGACTGCCCAGGGCCAGAGAAAGACAAGTACCATGTGACCTCACTCATCTGGAATCTGATGAACAAAATGAACTCACAAAATAGAGACAGACTCAGAGAGCAGGCAGACAGCTGTTGGGGGAGGACTGGGTGATGGGGATGGGGGTGGGATGGAGGGATTGAGAAAAAAGAGAGAAAACAACTCACTGACACTGATAACAGAGTGGTAATGTGGGGGGAGGGGGGGAGGTAGAAGAGGGGATAGGAAGGTAAGTGGTGATGGGAAGAAAAAGAACAGTCCTTCTCAGTTGGTTCATGTTGATGAAATACTCATTGAGAAGCATGTAAAATCCCAGAAAAATATAGAGAAGGACATTGGAAAATATCCCAGAGACTTCTCACCCAGAGAAAGTCCCTGCTAACATTTGTGGAAGTTTCTGTCATTGTTTTGTGTCTGTATGTGCAAGATAAGAATCTCCATACAGAAACTCAGGCATACTTTTAAAAAATGCAACACTCGCCCGGCTGGGTGGCTCAGTAGTTGAGCGCCGACCTTTGAACCAGGAGGTCACAGTTCAGTTCCTGGTCAGGGCATATGCCCAGGTTGCAGGCTCGATCCCCAGAGTGGGGCATGCAGGAGGCAGCCGATCCATGATTCCCTCTCATCATTGATGTTTCTCTCTCTCTCTCTCTCTATCTCTCTCTCTTCCTCTCCTTTCTCTCTGACATCAATAAAATATATATATTTTTCAATGCAACACTCTATTTCCTTCCAGCTCGGTTTGCATTCTGTGGCGCCTCTCCCCGTTCCCGGAGGCGGGGTGTTCATTGAGGGCCACGAGCCTACGGAGAGCACAGGTGTCCTGGCCTCTGGTCTCCGGCACCGTCTGTCTTTGGGGGCTTCTCCCCGCTACAGCTTCACCCTATGCGCTGGCTGCCCCTCATGCTGACCGGACGTCTCCTCAGCTCTCTCTCTGAGCTAAGGACAGGCCTTTCTTGGGCTCCTAGGAAGAGCCTTCCCCTTGGTCCCTCATCACCACAACGCTCCATCCATGACAGCCTTGGACACAGAGCACAGTCTGGGAACACTGGATGCTGAGTGCATCCTCGCAGTAGTGACCTCAAGCAGGTCCCTGGAAGTCCCTCACCCTTAGTTCCTCCTCTATAAAACCCCGGGGGCATTTCCCCGACAGGGTGGCTGTAACGACCACGTGAAATAATACCAGAGTGAGGGAGAAGATGGCGGCCAAACAGGCAGACCCTGCTGGCACCTCCCCCAGGGTCCGACTGGAAATAAAACTAAATTGGCGATGAACTTGTACGCATAGATGCATAACCCGTGGACACAGACACACAGACAATGGGGCAGTGAGAGCCCGGGGGTGGGCGGGGGGCGAGAATGGGCTGCAAGAGGTTAATGGGGGACAAGGAGGACCTATGTAATACTGTCAATGATAAAGATTTTTTAAAGAGAAAAGGAAGAAGAAAGAAAGAAAGAAAGAAAGAAAGAAAGAAAGAAAGAAAGAAAGAAAGAAGAAAGAAAGAAAGAAAGAAAGAAAGAAAGAAAGAAAGAAAGAAAGAAGAAAGAAAGAAAGAAAGAAAGAAAGAAAGAAAGAAGAAAGAAAGAAAGAAAGAAAGAAAGAAAGAAGAAAGAAAGAAAGAAAGAAAGAGAAAGAAAGAAAGAGAAAGAAAGAAAGAAAGAGAAAGAAAGAAAGAAAGAAAGAAAGAAAGAAAGAAAGAAAGAAGAAAGAAAGAAAGAAAGAAAGAAAGAAAGAAAGAGAAAGAAAGAAAGAAAGAAGAAAGAAAGAAAGAAAGAAAGAGAAAGAAAGAAAGAGAAAGAAAGAAAGAAAGAAAGAAGAAA